GTATATATATAGGGCCTATATACTTTTTAAGTCATTTATCATGCATAGGAACGTTGACGCCTGCAAGGCTCTGGTTTTATAAGTTATTTTATGATAAAATGTACAAATAAATAAGTTTGAGGAGTTTAAAAACTGTCAAGCAGAGGCTTATTATTGTGTAAAAAAAACTGCCACCTTGTGGTTTGTTTTGATGTTGTTATACCCACTATAACAACTTTAGTTTGGTGACTAATTCGGTCTATTGTATTTGTAAACTGTTTAGGGGTAGCTTGTGCATATTTTAGTTAATTTGAACTTTTCTAATACTTTTCCTTTATTCATCTTGGTGGCTGCATGCATGACCAGCGTGATGGGGCTCATCTTCGGAACGTGAAGTGGTTGGAGTCATGTGGATGTGCATGGATTGTGTGATGGGGAGAGATGGTGAGGCAATGGGGGCGGGGGGAGGGTGTGATGGCAATTTTTTTCGGGGTCTTACATTTGAAAACTTATTAATAGTTTGATGATGACTTATATTGAGGTCCATGGCTGAATTGCAAAAGTTTATAATATGTTATATAAAAAAAACAGCATAAAATTAACAACAAAACAAAAAAAAAATGCAGAAATTGACATACAAAATTAAAGGAAAAAGAAAATTGGTCAAAAGCAGTAGGCCTACGTACATCAAAATGCAATAACTTAGGCCTAGGCCTTACATGTTACACTTTCAATCATAAAAGTCTACAGCTATTAATTGTGCTCACTTTTTAGCTTTGGCCCAATGAATCTGTTAAACTATGAAACTAATTCCTATAGTAATATTAGTTTTTAGTATTGGTAAATCCTTAATAAATGCAAATATTATTCATATTTTTCCTATCAGTTTCCAACCGTGTCCCACACACACATGTCCTATCATTTAGATAGAAGGAAACATCAAAAGTACTATTGAAACCATAAACCAGAACAATGTCAATAATTATCAAAATATAAAAAGATTTTAAAGTCAACGATCGAGTGTAGAGGACATTAAAAACATAAATTGTTCACAATTAAAAAATATTAAAATCATTAAAAAATTTACATCAGTAACTGTCAAGTAAAGAGAACATCAAAAATATGATTAAAAACATAAAAAATAAACAATTCAGTCACAACACCTAAGGAGTCAACGTCAAAAATATGATCAAAAACACATTGAATAAAAATCAATATAAAAAGCATTAAAAACAACTAAACAAAAAATCAGAAAAAGTGACTGTTAATGAGGTTGGTGAGGAAAGGGATGGCAGTAAGTCTTGTACAGTTTGCAATCTGCATGCACAATTTGAAACAACATCCGTCACTCAAAATGAGCAAAAGTTCAAACTGCGCACAACACAATGGAAAAAAAGTTAACTAAATAGTAAATTACATTGTCCTTTTTTAAGCAACAAAACAGATCTGTATTTCAGTGAAAGCTCAGTGGTCAATTTTATTTTCCCAACCCATCTAGCGGAACTAATTTGCCAGCATGGGGGATCCTTCACCCACAGCCTACTTTCTTTCCTGTCTCTCAGATGCTCCCTATTTGATTATTATTATTAATATTATGCATTTTGTGTTCTCATGGGCTAAGCAGCAACAACTTGATTTGAATATTATTTCCTATTCTAAATCCTACATATATAAGGTATTACGTAGCTTTAAGATCGCACTACCTTTTTCATACAATGTAACAAGGAACTTTCGTTGATGTTGTGTGATACGATTATAACATAATTTTTCTATATATTTGAGCACTGTATTATTTATCTATTTGATTTGAGATATGTATATATATATATATATATATATATATATATATATATATATACCA